TACTCTGAAGCTGGTACATAGGCATAGGTACATAGTATACACAGATTATCAATATATCACTTTTTGGATACTATTCTCAATCGCACCAAAGTCAAAAATACTTATTTTGAAAATCTAGAGCCCTTTGATTTCGTAAACAAGTTATCAAATGCACTTGCGCTTATAGTGCGGACGCAGAAAAAAGTTAGGGCAATGCTCTAGCTACAACGCTCTGCAGCTCTGATACCATGCACAGGGCGCAAAATCAGCGTTATCGCTTCCGCTTGGCTCGCCACGCCGACTGTAGCTTTCAAAAACCTTTAGCTTAGATTTCGGTTATATTTGGCTTTGCAGCGCACAACAAGTTTGAATAAATAACTTTCTCCGGCGCTGCCGAAAGTAAATTTGTTTGAATGTCGAACGTAAGGTCGGCACTACAATTCTTACCCCTACTAGCCCATATAACTATGGTAGCTACTCAACAACAAGAAGGGAGCCCAGGAGATTGCTGTTAATCGCTGGACCTTCAACCTCATAATTTATACACAAATTTTTGTGCCACATTTATGACTTTAAAATTGCATGAAGATCGGGCACCAAACATAGAAGTAATTCAACATTGTATTAAATGCATCTATAAGAACCTCCATAAGCAATTTGTGTTCATATTGGGTTATATTTTATGATTTGATGAATGTGAACTACACAAGTAAGAAACTCTAGTTGGGAGTTCCCGACTAGGGGATACCCTGAACTTCTACCAAATCCAAATCCTCCTTAAACATCTTCTTCTTAATCTTCGGTCGTCAACCTACGTTAGAAAATATGTTTATTCTATCTAGAAAAGTTGATTTTTGGTGACATTGATTCTTCTATTCTTTTGCGATTATTTAATAGTTGTAAAAAAGCTGCTACAACACATTTTTGTGACCCTGACATGATTTCTATCTTATAATCTCGTTTGTTTACTATTTACATATACAAGTCGAGGTTTGAGTTTTGTAAGGCTTAACTGATATTAATTTGTATAAACAAGTGACTGTATTAGACTTTTCGATTGCTGCATGCTGTTGTTTGTTATACATAAGCGCAGTAGCATAATCGCCGTTGCATAATCGATGTTAATAGTTTCACACTGCGACTAGCTATCCGCTATTTCGGTCTAACAAGTACCTCTGCGCGTAGACTTGTATTCTGTTGCGGCTGTGTGAACCTTGTTGTACGCTACGCGAATCAAGTTGAAGTTGGAACACAGGCTGCTGTTTTTAAAATAAAGATCAAACATTTTTTTGATCGGCTTTATAAATTATCCTTCAAACCGAATGCCGAGCGACTTCGTAATGTCGATGTCTTCGAGCTGCAAGATTGCATAAGCATGGTATCTGAATTACAGTCAAAATTTGACACAATTTATGACAGATTACTGGATGTGAGTCATGCTAGCATGCTAGCATTAGCGCGAGCGTGGAAATTGAAACAATGTTCAGCACCTGCATTGTTCCACTCTTAATTCAGCCGCAGCCAATGATTCGCGTTCAACCATTATTGTTGCAAGCCACTATCGTCTGCCTTAACTTAAATTGGCTGCATCGTAGTAAACGCGTTGCTGCAAAAGGTAGACAATGCTACACAAGCAAGCTTTGAAGACGATGCGCCGTTGGGCGTCATACCTGCGAGCGGTTTACAGCCTTCATCAGACGATACAGCAATAAACGCGTCTATCTCCAAATTTGTTGTCACTAAGAGTTGAACGCGTGTTTGTGTATTTTGAAACGTCGCAGGCCATTCTATTTACCAATGTTTTCTTTTTGCCATTTGCCCTCGCTGTGCCTTCACAAAGCCAAGAGGCTTGCTCTGTTCCTAAATTACTTGCAAAAGGTATCAGCTGCGAGTCTGCGGCTCCAGTGCTTGGTAGCAAGCACCACCACCGCTTCTCAATGCAGCCATCAATGTAAAAATCGCGCTGACTCCTTGGTCCCAAACATGTGCTGCTCCACTCTGGGTCGCAACTGTACATTATCACCTCTCGTCTTGCTCATCAGCTCCAGCTGCGCAAATTCAAATCGACAGCAGTAGTATCTGGCAGTGGTGATGCAACATTTGCCTCAGATTGATCAACATCAATATACAGTCTCGAGGTGTCAGAGTGCTCAGCATGCATCCTGTCGTTGATTGCAACAATCATTACCGACAACCAGTCGGGCTTCACTTTGTAGCCAGTATGTCGGAACATTCCATGAAATATACAATTAGCTGATGCTATATTCTTTAAATCCCTATGGTGGATCCAGATCTGCAGCTAGACTCGTATCTGCAACCGAATGCACAGGCTTATGAACTAATTTGTCGGTTTTGCGAACTGAAATGCAGAACCGAGCGTGATTGGGATTGCGGGATTGCGAGGAGCATTTCCAGGCCCAATTTCGCGAAATACATTTGCTGGCCAGTCGTCTGACAGCTTTTCGGTTCGCTTACCGCTTTGACTGGGTATGGTTCAACTGGGCGACTCCTATCTTATTAGAAAGTACTGTTGAGATTCAAAGATTTTTTGATTCCAGTGATTATGGAGGATGCGTCTATGCAGTCTCCACGTGCCATGCTACATCGCCAGCGTACGTCTCTTGGCCTCCAAGTTGCGTGTGGCGCCCCTGAAAACCATTACTGTACCAAAACTGAAACTCTGCAGACTTGCACTATTGCCTCAACTGCTCAGCAAAATATGTCAAATGAAAGTGCTCGTCTGTCGGTAATACTCGTGGTCAGACTCTGCAGTGGTGTTAGCTTGGATTCATAAATATGCTTCAAAATTCAATGTTTCGCATCGCAGTCATCCAGGAGCTCATCATTGGCTTGAAGTGGTATCAAGTAGCATCATAACCGCACTGAGTTAAGCCCGGCGGTTACAATTTCACGAGGAGCTCGTCGTTGAACTTCTCAGCACGCCATTCGATTATATTGTCCCGTCAGGCATTTGTGAGGCAAGCAATGAGTCTTAACTTTCATAAACGTAACTTACATACTGGACACACTTTTCGATTCGGTTCCAAGTGCACAATTTGTTTTCACAATTGGCGGAGATGGGCCAATTGTCTACAAGAGCGAAAGGCTACAAGAGCCTGTTCACATGCGTTTCTACAAAGGCGGTACATTTAGAGCTTGTGAAAACATGCCTGACGCCCTTAAACGGTTCAGCCTGACTCGCTGCCGACCTTCAATGATCTGGTCTGACAATGCGACAAACTTAGTACGTGCTAATAATGAGCTAGCAGATCTGAGGCGACTGTTGCTGAGTCCCGCTGATGAAAGGCTATTCAAAAGTTTTTCCTACCCGTCTCAATTCGTTCATATCCCTCCTTGGTCTCCGCACTTTCGGCAAACTATGGGAGGCAACCGTAAAGAGTGCGAGGCACCACTTTTATCTTTCTGTCGGCCCTTTCAATTTGGATTTCGATGCTTCATGCTTCTTTAACGGAGTTCCAAATGGCGTACTCCTCAGCCGGGACTCGCAATTAATGATGTCATTCTTGTAAAAATTATAAGCTTTATAAACCATACTAAGTGCCTTTCACGGCTAATATATATAATTGCAATAGAAATTGAATTGTTTGAATTTTGTTGCACAGAAGCAACGTTAAATTAATAGTTGCAAAAAAGCTTGCAACTACATACCCTCTTTAATTAATAAAATGTTTGATTGCAGAATACCTTCAAGAATTTGGTGACCACTCCCAGCCCTTTAAACTTGAAACCGAGCGAATGGCAAATTAAAAAGTTGCATACAACAGTTTTCCGCCAACTTTCTACAGTTGCGGGTGGAATTCTTAAAATCGATGATACACGTATTTATTAAGTTTTATATTAAGCATTGAGCATCGGAATCAAGTGGGCAAAATTCCAAACGCTGTACTTACAACCTTTGACTATTATTTTCCGCCAAGCAGTGCAATTTCAGCAATGTGTGAAACACTTCGCCATTAATTTTTTAAAGATGTTTCATTTCTCATCCAAAAATGGGTGGGTTTTGCGAAAAGTAGGAAATACTCTCCTGATAAATTTTAACAAAGATCTTTTCCAATGATTTTTAACAGATCGGATAGTAAACAAGTAAGACGTTTTAGTCGGGAGCTCCCGACTAGGGGATACCCTGAATCCTCTCATTCCAACAAAAAATGCAGCGCGCGCTACGCGCCTGTTTGCTTTAGTAGTATTCAAGATAAATTTAAAAAAAAATTTTAATTAGCAGGGCTAATAAGTTAGTCTTAATGAGAAAAAAAACGAATTAGAATAGCAGCACAGAAAACAATACAATTGCGATTGCAATGCTGTTGATAGAATTCAAAGCAGACGCGCTTATATGTGGATGTGTACATTTATACAGAAATCTTGAAATTTGCGATTGCTGCCGCTGATACGAGGGAAGCCACAACACGTTTTCTGTGTTTCTAAACCGATCTTGATGAAATTTTCTACATCTTATTGTGGTATTAAATATTTGTGTTTTCTCAAAAAGTCAATTGCACTCTAGCTCTTATTATTTATTTTATTATTTACCAAAATTGCTCAAAAGACAGGATTTCAATTTCTATTATTGATTACTTGGAAACTCGGCTATTGATGCTGATCAAGAATATATATAATTTATGGGATCGGAAATGCTTCCTTCTGCCTGTTACGTACCTTTGCACAAATACATTATACCCTTTTTACCCATTTTTAATGGGTTCAGAGTGTAAAAAGTCGCAAATTTTCAGCCAAAATTCCAGTTGCGGATGGAATTCAAAAACATACGTATTTACTTAGTTTTTGTTTAGAGTTTTGGGCATAACTTTGAGACCCATTGGACAAAACTTAAAACTTCAATCTTACAACCTTTGACCGTACAATTTCCGAGAAGTGTCTCAAATAAGGTCACTACAGTAATAATTTCAGCATCTAACAGTGTGAGCTGTGTGTTGATCATCAATCAGTCGATCGTCATGACAAACAGTTTTATGCATGGAAATTATTTAAAAAATACTTACACAATAATATCCATCGATTTCGTCCACAATCACACAAATATATGATTTACACTGAATTAGTATATTTCGGAAATCAAATGAGAGATAGTCCCTTCTTATATATTTTTTCAAACAGGGGTAATTTTCGCGATTCTCAAGCAGGCCTCCATTAACTATTGGAAACCTATAATTGTAAATGAAAATTATACGTTACAACTTAAAGACACGTTGTGCTAAGTTAAATAAAATCATATAATTCTTGAATATACGTAATTACTATTAAGAAAATATTTCGACCTGCTGAAGTTGTCATTAAAAAAGAGGCTCCTCACTTTCCAAAGTAATCCATGATCTGACTAACGCAACCTTATATTTAAAATCAATTTAATATTTTACACTTCGTGTGACCTTCAAACAATATTTTCTTAAGTTAATTTGGAATTGTAGAGTTGTGCCATGTTTTGTGTGAGTCGCCATACTCCGCTCAATCTCAAGGCTATTACTCTCTTTTCGGCGATAAAAGCAATGGCAGCAATACTTACATGATCTATTAATTGGGGAGCATATCGATTGGGTGCCATTAGTCGCTAATTGGTAGAGGAACGATTTTTAATATGTTTGACTACAATGTATTGTTTTTAGTGTGACCACTTGGATAAGCGAATCTCAGCTCCGTTATACGCCCAAGGATCCACTGAGCTGGGGACATTTAGTCGGATTTAACGATAACTAAGACGCATATGCGCCAGTCAATTCCGTCTTGACTGCATCCAAAATTAGCGTGCCATCCTTTACTGCTTACTTCAGAGTTTCACCAATAAGAAAATGTGCTGGAAGAAGTACAGCCAGGTCCACAGGGTCAGCGGTTCGCGGACTCAAGCACGCCTCAATCATACTGTGTACAGCTATCACGCAAGTTTGCTTGCATTGCATATGCTCCTCTTCAGGTGATGTTAGACGGACTTGACGTTGGCCTCCCTGTACCTCCGATTAGCCACTGCTGAACTGAGCTACGTTTTGTTAACACCCATATGCACTGCGTCAAATTTGATGAGGCCCTTTATTGCTTTGACAAAGTTTTATCATTATCACCATACATGTATTGACCTGAGCCTCGCCGTCCGGTAAATCCCTTCGACCCCTGCAAAGCGCGTGTATCATTTGTAAGTACTTGTCACGCGTTCACGCGCAGTCTTAATGTCTACTTTTCGCGCAACGAATGAACGTATTGACTATGGGCACAGAAAGTTCCTCATTATATGCGTGTGTAATTTACGGGTTTAGGTGCCAAATATGGTGACCCAAATTCTTAAGCTTCAAGAGCCACTCTATTTTTTATATATTTCGGATAAACAAGTCGAGTTATCGATGATATTGAACAATTTCGATCTTTTCAAGCATAAGAAAGCCTACGTTAAAAATTGCACTCCTTGATATCTCTTTGAAATCGACGAGTTCATACAAAATGACAGACGGATGTATAAACAAATGGACGGCTGTTGGTGCTAATCAAGAATATGTGCACCTTACGGGGTCGGAGATGCCGTCTTCTGTCTGTTATATATATTTCACAAAACCATTATACATTTCATGGGTTTGGGGTATAAAAACAAATCGTTGGGTTGAAAATCTCTTAGATCCGTTAAACATCTGCCATGGAATACGAAAATCGTCGCAGCTATGCGATGTTAAATTAATGTCTAGCGGTTATCAACACCACTAAAATTTTTTCAATAGCGAATACAAACTTGGTAATGTTACTTTTCATCGATAACTTGCCCTTTTCCATTTATTCGATAAAAATCGATATCGAAATCCTGTTTTTTTGGCACAAATTTCTAACTTAGGGTGTTGAGAGAGTTGCTAGAAACTAATGATCCTCAATATATTATGCGAACTGAGTTTCATAATGTCACGTAGTGTGAGGTGTTTCTAACGAAAAAAACTTACCTTAAATGTAGTTTTAATGATTTGCATTTAATTTGTATATCCATTAGATTGTCATTTTCCAATATTTTCTCATCCGTATTATCATCTTCCATGAATGGAGATACTTTAAATAAAGCTTTTAATCTATCATAAATTGAAATATCAAGCTCTGTAGTACAGTCGTCTAAAGTGCATTCAATTTTATTGCTACTTCTGTTGTGGTTTTGTTTAAAAAGATACGACGAAATATGAGAGAGAATAATTTCCGGTCGAGTGTGATAACCCTCACGGCAATTCTGAAAATATGATATCATCTTATTATTTTATTTAGATTATTTACTGTTTCAAAATATAATACGTTTATCGTGTATTCCCTGGCCTTACCGGGTAAAAGGCTTTGTGACAAAAATTGAAAATTATACTTTTTCACCCAGTTCCCACGCGCGGAAATTTTAAATCTACAATCTTGATTTCGACGTCAATTTAAAAGTCCTTCAAAGAAACACCAAAACCAAGGATCAAGCGAAAATTTGAAGCACTTCTCAAATAAATTTTCAAAGATCTTTGAAAATGATTTTGAAACCGAATGGGTGGTAAACTACAAACTTGATTGTTATCGTTCCGAAAATACAAATCAAACGATGTTGTATGCTCCTAATTCAGGGAAGCATTTGAATGCATAGGTTTCCTCCAATTTCAATGACAGTTCACGTTACTAGTGTATCTATTGGTAGTCATCGATGATTTTGATTCTCGCATTTTTTCCAAAACCCCTCTTCTCTTTCTTAAAACTTATAACGCCAAGTTTGGTCAAGATATATTAATAAACAAAAAAGTTTTTTATACGAGAACCTACTTTTCGGCCGATCGTTCCTACGGCAGCTATATGATATAGTGATCCGATGTAAATAAGATGTAGCATAAATGTAGGGAGCATAGTGAAACTAATAAATGACGAGTTTGATCAAGATATCTTGAAAAAGTTTTCCATACAACAACTTAATTTTCGACCGATCGTTCCTATGATATGGTGGTTCGATCCAGCTTTAAAACTGAGAGACTAGTTCGCATTGAAACAGACAGACAGACGGTCATAGCTATATCGACTCGGATGTTGCCACTGATCAAGAATATATATACTTTACAGGGGCGGAGATGTCTTCTTCTATGCATTACACATTTCACTACAAAATTATAATACCCTCTATTTATAATACTTAAGTGAGCATCGGTTGCAAGACAAACTTTTCATTTTACTGTTATTTCAACTGATAGTAAACTTAATAATTAAATAATAATATATATACTCACTTTTTTTCTGTCGAACAAAATTAAGTGATTGTTGGCTTTGTCAAGGATTTCACTGAAGTCCAACGTTGTTGCTGATAATGTTGTCTTTAAAGACAATTCATTACAAAATCTTTGCTGATTTCCGGTGACTAATAATGATGAAACTATCAACAACAGATAGTTATTTTTGGGTATTGGAATATAACATTCCTTCACAACTTTTTCCTTGTTTGTTGCTTGAAAAAAAATATTGGCAATTTCCAAATAGTTCGAGAAACTTTCATTAGTGTATAAGCAATTTGGCTGAATATCGTTTGTATTGTTTTCGAACAGAATATCGTTATGTAGGATAACCCATACAATTTTGAATATTTGCAACTTAAACTTTAAAATCTCCCCACATTTTTCATCGGATTCCTGTTTAATCTGAGCATTGCTACAGGACGTAGTTATGCTGTTTGTAGATGTCGAAGATATAACTGATTCGTTTTTTTTTGACATTTTATCAGGATATATTTGTTGAGATTTCCTATAAACATCTGCTTCAGTGCACCAATCCTTGTCCTTCTCAACAATGCCAGTCATTTTTGTGTTGAATGGTGCATTTTTAATGTCAGTTTTCAAATCAGAATATTTTTTTTTCATCCTTTCTTTTGGGCGCACTTTATCAAATCCTTTGAATATACGGATTAACAGGTGTGTTTGGCGAGGGGTTAACATAAAATAAATGTCGCCTATTAAAACTTCTAAGTTAATTTTCGGGCCAGATACGTTTTCAGTTTGTTTGACGCTTATCTTAAAATGTTGACATCCCTTAAATTCCACAATTTTGCAAAGGCGCCCAACAGACACCATCCCTGCTTTGTTACTTTTGCTGTCAAATATTTCTGAAGTATATATCGTTAGTTCATTGGTAACTAAGTTATGCTTAGCAATCATCGGTAATGATGTGAAATTAGAACCTTGATCGGTGCTATGGCTATTACTCCCTGATTCTTCATTTGAAGAAGCATTAGTTCCATATCCAGTTTGATTTTTATATTCGATATGATTCGCTTTGAATGATATAATAAGCTGTTTGGCAGACTTAGGCAAATTACATTCAATGTTAATCGTTGTATTAGTTAAGTTTGCATGAATACGATTTAGAACTGGAAAAAATTAAAATTATTATAACATATTAATTCATAGTTTGTTCATCATGTTAAGATCAATATTGCAATTCTGGCAGATTAGCATTATGAATACATCTACTCGCGAAAAATTTTATTTTGTTTCAATAATTATAATAACAAAATTAAAACAAATAAAAGGGCTCTAATATGAGTCTTGATCGAGTTGCAAGCTCGGCATTATGCTGGACGGCATCCGGTGTTGCAGCAGAGTTGTGTCAGCTAGTAATAGTCAAATTAGTCTTTAAATACGGGGGAAAACAGTTTGTGAAAACTGTGCAAAATAAATTTTGAAAAATTTGTTCAAAAAGTATTTGTATGTTAAACGTTAAACAATACGCAAGTAACATTGTGCATGCTAGAAACAAACACAAATTCCTAAAAAAAAAACTTTAAAACAAATCAACGAGCCCCTCGCAGCCATGAGCCAAAAATACAGGTCAAGGACGACTTACGCATTGTTATAGGTTAATTCGAGACGATAAACCAAGAAGATAACATTTAGAAAATCCTGTAAAAAGAAAAAAAAAAACCAAGTAAAAAACTCTAGTCGCGAGTTCCCGACTAGTGGAAAACCTGAACCTCCTTCTTCTAACAACACCAAATGCAGCTGACGCTACGAACCCGTTCACTTTCGCAGAAATAATAAGTAAGAGGTTCTAGTTAGGAGCTCCTGACTAGGGGATACCCTGAACCCTCTTCTTCCAACACCAAATGCAGCTCGTGCTATGCGCTCGTTTGCTTTAGTAGTAATAAAGAAAAATTAAAATTAAAAAAAAAATTTTCCTTGGCAGGGTTCGAACAATAATTGAGTTTTAATGAGAAAAAAAAAAGAATTTAAATAGCAGCAAAGAAAACAATACCATCGCAATTGCAATGCTGTTGAATGAATGTGTGTGTGTACATGTGTACAGAAATTCTTGGAATTTACGCTTGCTGCCGCTAACACGTGCGCACATAACTTTTGTGTTTCTAAACCGATCTTAATGAAATTTTCGACAGTACATCTAATGGTAGAATAGAATATAGAATATATGTGTATTCTCAAAAAGTCAATTGCATATAAATTGTGACTTAAATTAATATCGGAAACAAACTCGATCTGCGAGGGGACTAGGAGGACCTACAGCTTAAATTTCAAGTCTCGAGATCCTTGCGTTCATGGCGCACATTGCTAGATCGACTCGGCTGTTGATGCAGATAATATATATACTTTATGGGGCCGGAGATGCTTCATTCTGCCTGTTACATACAATTGTAAAAAACATTATACCCTCTTTACTCATTTTCAATGGGTTCAGGGAAAAAAATAAACTTAAAAAAAATTTTCATCTACTGGACTCGAACCTGTAATCGACCTAATTTAACCAGCAATAACGAAAAATCACTTTTAACGAAAAACAAGAAAGAAAGGCTATCTTCGGCACGCCTAAGATTTAATACCCTTGCAGACCCAATCTTTTCATAATGCTCATAGTGGTTTGCTCGTATCTAAGAAGCACAGGGAAAATAGTCAGCCCAGTATGGTTAAGATATCTTAAAAAAAAAAGTTTTCCATACAACAAACATAATTTTCAAACGATCGTTCCTATGGCAGCTATATGATTTAGTAGTCCGATGTAAAAAAGACTTCATAAATGTAGGGAACATATAAATGACGAGTTTGTTCAAGATATCTTGAAAAACAAAAAAGGTTTCCATATAACAACTTAATTTTCGACTGATCGTTCATATGGCAGCTATATGATATAGTTGTTCGATATTGATAGGATTTTGCATATATATATGCGTCTCCATTGTAAAACCAATAAATGCCGAGTTTGGTCAAAATATCTTGATAAGCAAAAAAGTTTTTCATACAACAACCTACATTTTGACCGATCGTTCCTATGGCAGCTATATAATATAGTCGTCCGATCCAGCCGGTTCCGACATATGTACTGTGTGCAACAGAAAGAGCCACTTCTGATAAGTTTTTTGACGATAGCTTTAAAACTGAGAGACTAGTGCACATAGAAACAGACAGACAGGGACTCTGCCCTTGGACTGTCTCTGAATTCTTGCAATCTAGCCAACGACGACGACACCTAGAAGGAGTGATGGCAATTGCATAACTGGCACCCAACATTGATTGGCGCTGTAAAAAATAAAAATAACTAATAAAAAAACCAGCAGCATCAGCAGAAGAGATATCAACTTGCGGAAGACAACGCAAACTACAGTGGCGGACGTCAATTTTATTTATAAAAAACCCACAAAATAATATGACATGTAGAATAGAGTAGAGTGCCTATTTAACATTTAAAATTCTTTTTATTGAAAAATTCCAAGCTAAAAAATGTAAATTAAAAAGTATTTTCAGTTTAAGATTTTGTAAAATAATAAAAATGTAAATTACAAAATATTTTCAGTTTAAGTGTTTGTAAAATAAATCTTTGTGAGAAAAAATTTCAACTTTTACATAGAATAATACTCATATGAGTTTTAGTGACGCGAGAATTAGTGGTCCGATCAAAGCTCAATACATAAACGGGCGCTTAACGAGTCCGATGTAAAAATGCTACTCGAGTTCGCAGTTAACACTGCACTCGCAAGTCAGGCCCAAGTGTTTGAACTAACTATAAAAGATATAGAAAGCAATTTTCTAACACGTCAGTGACTGTACCCGAAGTAGAAGTATTTAAAGAAGCTGAAATATTACGAGACTTACAATGCAACGAAACAATAGATATTGTGAAGTCAGTACTTGATTTTGAGGAAAAACACGAAACATACATTTCATGACGAAAAGCCGCCCATACATCCTATAAAATGCTTGAAAACTATTCGAAAAATTCAAAACATTACCAGGCACTGATATGGTGCTGACACGCCACTGAATTTTAAAGCTATCATTAATAGATTAACATACGCCGATAAACGACCTGTTTACCCAATTGAGCAAGAACTATCGACTCTGGGCCAAGGAAATTTGACAATAATACAGTACTACGAGGAGATCGAGCGTTTATCAACTTTGGGAAATTAAATTCTAAAACCATCAATCATAATTACTCTATACTATAGTAGCCATTCTCTCAAATCTTGGAAAAGCTAAGTATATTACAACAATTGACTCAAAAACGGGATTCCACCAAATACTAATTGAGGATAAGGATACAGAAAAAACTGCCTTTTCTGTAGCGAACGGGATGTATGAATATTGCAGACTTACTTTTGGTTAAGGAAGTAATGTTTTGTTTACGTAGATGACGTTATCATCTTCTCAGAAAACATACAAGAGCTCACAATCCAAATATAAAAGGTTCAGTAGCGGAAGATGAGACACTGACGATAAAGTGGCACCGGACTCTGTGAGAGCAGAATTCAAATAGATGATTTCGACCCGTGTCGAAGCATTTTCCACTTCAAATGCGTTGTCATCTTTCAACACGTAAGTCGTCGCAACAATCCGTACTGAGGACCACAACACAGTCTAGTCGAAATTATACATGCACCCCATGGAGGTAACCGATTTCGTTACTAATGAAATCAGAGCGGAAATTGTTCGGTCTTCTAGATAACCTTACAATAACCCCACTCGGATTGTTGATAAGAAAAGCTGCAATGATTTAGGTAACAGCGGTAAGTAATTGACTTCCGCAAGTTAAATGAGCGAACCATCACAGGTCGGTATCCCATGCCAAGTATCCCCATTTTATAAGCTAATATATAAAAGGCCAAATACTTCACGACCCTAGATCTAAAATCCGATTACCACCATATTTACTCAGCGGAACAAGACCCTGAGAAGACTTCTTTCTCTGAAAACTGAGGAAAGTATGTATTTTGCCGATTGCCGTTCGGACTGAAGAACGCGGGTAGCATATTGTCTTTAGTCAACAAATTGGCAGAACTTTCAATGTTTACGTTGACGATCTCATAATATTTTTTTATAAAATGAATCTGATCACGTCAAACATATCGACTGGGTTGTAAAGATCATTTGACGCTTTTTAAGGAATGTGTGGAGTATTCGAGGTTCATTGTCACCAAGGCGGCGAAAAAAACGAAACCGAAAATGTGAGAGCGATGTAAGAGTTTGTAGAACCTGAGAGTTTATTCTCACTTAGGTAGTTTTAAGGGCTGGCTACTACAGCTGCTTTTATAATAGATAAGTTTCCAAAAATTGCCCAGCAAATAATATATCGAACGATAGCCGTTATCAAAATTCCTATTATCTAGATCATCCAACTAGCTGTGACAATGAAGCGTCTTTCAACTGGAAACAATAACATCGTTACTTAGTTTGGTATAGATGTTGTAAGTGCACTATCGCTTCGCAGTTCACCTAACGGGCAGGTTGAGCGTTTCCATGGCACTCTGTTAGAAATCGCCAGATTTCTTAAGGTGGAAAGAAAGATTGAAGACTCGATCGACCTTATAATGCAGGCCACCATAGAGTACAATCGAACGGTACTTTTTTAGTATATTCATACATGCACATTGTAACACTTTGTTGCAATCATAAACATTGTCATTGACAACAATGAATAACTTAAACTTAAGCGCACATTGATACGATCGAATGTAATATGATCAGGCACTTGACGGCCGTATTCTTATGCCGTCTTACGGCATAAGCGCTGACTGAATGCCCGGGACCGCTTTGTACGAGAAGTACAAGGTTGCACGCACATTAATACTTTAATGTAACCATAAATGCATGCGTACGGTCTGCCTCTCAGAGTATGTTAGCCTTAAACATAATGCTAAAAGATCTAGAAGATGTAGAAGATCTTTATCATAATACCATTACCATACCATAATACCATACGCATATTGGATACGAACGCTTGTATGTATATGTACGCACAAGGGAACCTTCGGTGGACCTAGACAAGCCTGGAGCGAAAAAAAAACTACAAGCATATTCAATGAAAAGAAACACTTCACATACATGTTAAATATTGTGTATACCCTAGGAAAGAACAACGGCA